ATACCAAAATCTGGTGCCGTTGGGACAAAGCTTCATTTCGAGACTCCTTTATGTGTGTCATCCCCTCTATCTCCCCCTTTAGAATATATCTCTGATAAAAGCTAAACTAGCCCAAAAATAATTAAAAAAAATCTTTAACAAATCTGTCTAAAGAGATTACCCAAATACAGAAACTAATCCTTTCTGTGTTTTCAAACAGTGTAATAACGGAGCCTGTTGACAGTGTACACTAGCTTGTCGGCCATCTGCAAATCAACACGATTTTCCACATTAGAGAACAATTGTAACGTCTTGTAAACAAAAATAGGACGATATTATATCCAACAATGAAACAAATGTGGGAAAACTAACACCCAAAACAAGGCTCTATTAACAAAAATAGGAAAAGTTTAACACTAGATTGACTTTATAACTTTTTCAATTCTAGGAATATATTGTATAATGCTTTTAAATGTTTGCTGGCAGATTCTAAGAAAGGACTGAAAGCCTGCAGCTCAGCAGAGTTTACAGTGAAAACAAGGTGGGATATTGTTCATGTTCTGCTAATAACATGCCAGAGGGAACAGAGTCAGCCTCCAGAAAACATTTGGGGTGTTTTTTTATTTATATATATATATATAAATAAACATAAAAGACATCTATTGTATGAATCAAACCAGAACTATTATTAACTATTATGTCTCAGTCCACTCCAAGCGTATTCAAAAAATATTTAACAAAGAAAAGCAAGATTTTGGTAAAATAACTAAGAAAAGTATTGGTCACCAATAATTAAGAGTTAACATTTTATTACTTCAATATCATGGGAAATCTCACCTCCTGAACGTTGGACTCCTTGGTCAGAATCTCCTTGGCCTGGAGAGGAAACAAACACAGACTGCTTATTGAAAATGGTGACATTTGTAAGACCTTTTTCTTAAATGTGATCAGGCAGACAGAATGTTATATTAAACTCTTGAACCAGACACGAACAGTAAATCATGTCATACGTGTCCACGTTTAGCCTCTATGACAGGCTGACAGGTTATTTGGAGGTGTTGAAGGATCTGTGAACTCACAGGACACCATCGATTTAAATTACTTGGCGGTGGAAAAAAATAGGTTTGCTTCGGACCACAGAAAGCTACAATGTTTGCTTCCTTTCTACTAGTTCCACTAATGCTTGGAATATTGTATCCGTTATTGATCGATCGACTGTTAATAACATGTCTAAAATATTTCAGAGTACAAGTAAATGACTTGTTTAATAAACTGAACAAAACCCAAAGATATACATTTAAAGTGAATAAAATCAAATAGCTAAATTCCTCACATTTAATGACAATGGGTTAATTTCTATCCTGAGCATCTTAAAATGTATTGAATAATCTTGACAACAAGTTTCTTTCAATTGGATTTTTTCTATTATATCTACATAACTTTCAATGTATTTATCTTAAGGGTTATCAGCCATTTCAACCAGTGGAGAAAATGATTTATTTTTAGCGAGAAATATGTATTATACATCATATTTAGAGTTCCATCCCACGTTTCTTTTCTCATCTAGAATCTTGGTTGGTCAGTTGGTTGTACATCTTTAGATAGTCTAGGTTAGTTTTAGTGTTTCTTTACTCTTCTTTTACGTTTTGTTTCATCATTTGTTTAAACAGGGAAGGCTTACAGTCCTCCTCCATCCGTTTTATTGGAGTGTTATGTAATACATTTCATCTAAACTACTGAACAAACTAAGGTTGAGTTTCTTTTATCTTTCATTCATTCAGTTCACAATGACCCACCATTTTTCTTCCCCATATTCAGGAAATGACCTGTAACCTTCCAGTAATACATTTTAAACCTGTTACTAAATCATATATTATGGAAAAAAATGAAAAGGTCTATGATGCATAAAAGCTACCGGAGAGTAATCTTTATGGTGCAACACTGAAGTGACGTCTGAAATAGGCTTGTCAGGTTTATGCAATGAAACGGTTGATCGATAAAGACAGGGCGCGGTGCACATGATTACTTTAATTATTATTAATACACGATTATTTTTAATACACATTAAGAGTGCACAACTCCTCAAATCTAACATTAACCGAGTCCTGATATTTGCGCTAAATGCAGTCATGTTAATAGACAGGGAATGAAAATGGGCTCCGTCTAATAGCTGGTATGATGTAAAAGATGCGAATTCTCGGCCTGTCTGACATCAGACGACGGTGGTCGGATGATTGTCGTAATTATCATCGATATAATGGGTCTGATATTACACTCAACATCAATTGAAGGTGAACGATCATATTTCGCTGGTTAAATGCTTTTAAACATTAATAATCTGAGAATGACTGATGGAAACGGGGCAAAAATAGCCGCCTTGCCTACCAGAAATTAGTCGGAGCCGTTTTCACAATCTAGGCCACACTGTGAGCGAGGCCGACTGGGTCAAAAATACAAACCGGATAATTGTAAACCAACTTACCTTCTCGCAGAGTGTCCGGACTTGGTTTTCCGATAGCTGCTTACACTCATTTAGCTGTTCGATCCATTGGTCTAACTCTTTAGTGAAGGATTTGTCTTCCATGACAGCCGCGGCGGTAGCTCGCTGAGCTAGCTGTGTTAGCTGAAACAAACTGGCCTGTGTCTCAACGCTAGCAGCTCTCTAGCCTTTAGCTCGTCGTATTGTTAACCCGATCAAGTCCCGCCAAATCGGTCGGAAATTCAACGATAACACCTCAAATAAACGAGCCGTTTACTCAACTTCTATCATGATAAACTACCCACGTCAAGTTACCAACGCTAAAAAACAGGTTATTTCGGCCGGGGGAGTAAAAAGGGTCGAATGTCCCCGATGCGACGGACCGTAGCGGCGAGAGGCAGCGGCGTCGCAAGCGGCTAGCCGAATAGCTAAGAGAGCTAGCTACAATAACATCCGGGCATTTCAGTAGCGCGCAGAGTGAGCGCACCAGCGACACTGCGTGGACAAACAGTGAAATGCAAAACCGTGACAATCACATGATATAAAAGTGGGACAGAACAGGGGGCACTATTGAAACAAAATCCTATGACAAATAAACTACAAATTACATTTTTTCACTTCTCTTTGTATAGACACAAAATAACCTTCCATCAGTCACAGACTACTTTAACAGTAATGAACATCATTTGACCACTGAACAGATATGGTGTCTGTCTACAATTGTCTTGGAGCTTAACCCAAATGTGACAGATGCCATTTTAACACCCTATATTTACTATTTAAATGAAAGGAACATATTTGTAAAATTATTACATTTGCATAACTTACTTAGATTTGGAATTTGTTTTTGTCTGCCTTGACCACGTCATGTAGCAGAATCCCAAGTCTGTGCTGGGTCTTAGAGATGGAGACCCACCTGCAGGCTGTGCTGCACTCACCCGCTTTGCACTTGTAAAGGGAAATAAATCAGACACAGAGAAAGACAGATAATGGCCACCGGACTATAGATAAAAATGTGTAGTTGTATTAAAAAGTAATTTTCTTATGAGTATATGAGAAGAGAAAGGGACTCTCTCTGCTCTCTTGCTTGTTTATTGCTTGGTCCCTAATTACAAAATTCCTACAGTTGGAAAAGGGTCTTCACACGTGTCCACACAAATAAGCAGGCGTGTTGTAAGCTATTCTTCAAGCTTCACAATTGAAACATAAGGAAAGTCTGGTGTTAGCCCAATTGGAATTGGACTAGGCAATATCAGCTGAACATAATTGGAACCAACACTGTTTACATCTTATCAAATCTAATCACTAAGCAAACTAAAGAGGGCCAAAGAAAAAAAAAATACTAAGAGCCGAATTGCACCTTTGTGGTTAGATCGCGGTCTACAGATAGCCTAGCATTCACAACCTACACACAATCTAAGACTAATAAAGATCCTCAAGTAGGAATACTCTATTAGAAGTAAAAGTCCTGCATTCAAAATGTTACTCAAGTAAAAGTACAAAAGTATTAGCATCAAAATATAGGCTGCTTACTACTTACTACCAAAAGTAAAAGTAATCATTATGCAGATTTGGTCCGTTTCAGAATAATATATATGATATGTTTTATAATGATTGATCATGAAAGTGTTCTCAAAGCTGGTAAAGGTGCAGCTAGTTTGAATGACTTTGTATACTGCAGGGTAGCTGGTGGATTTACTCCAGGTGGAACTAAAGTCTGATTCAACACTTGATTATATTTTACATCATTCATCCACATCTGTAAAGTAACTAAAGGGACAAAATGAATGTAGTGGAGTAAAAATACACTATTTACCTCAACATTGTACTTAAGAACAGAGTAAATGTACTTAGTTAGTTCCCACTTCTGGTCCTAAGATATTGCTCAGAATTGTAGAATGATGTTGATCTGAGTAACTGATTAGCATATTCTTTATGAAAAATACCATACTGCATTTAAAGTGAAGACCTGTGCTGATGTAAAAGAACAACATACTGTTGGCATGCTGATCATTAATGTAATGCATAATGTTTTTTTGGGATGGATCAGGGGATGGATACAAGTCTGTTTCAGGTCTTGATGATGAGGCCGGCAATCAAAACCAAATGTGTATTTGATAAATATTTGTATTATTATATATATATATAATATAATATCATATTATTATTATTATCATTATTATTATTATTATTATAATACTTATTATATTTGTTTACTCTGCAATGTAATATGTACCTATACCCTGAAGTCGGTGTGTGTGTGGCTGTGTGTGTGTGTGTGTGTGTGGGTGTGTGTGTGTGTGTGTGTGTGTGTGTGGTGTGTGTGTGTGTGTGTGTGTGTGTGTGTGTGTGTGTGTGTGTGTGTGTGTGTGTGTGTGTGTGTGTGTGTGTGTGAGAGTGTGTGTTATGTTTGATATATAAACTCTGAGTTATACTGTTTTCATGTCTGTTTTAATTAGCCAATGTTGGGAAAAGGAAAACCTCAATACAGCCGGTTCCTACCATGGATGTATTTATAAGAACAACATGGTTGTGAATCCATTAAATCAAGCGCACCTACCACCTACCGGCTTCAACAGTTATTGCGCATGTGGAGCAGCCATATGGCTGCGTGCTTTACGGCAATCAACCCGTATCTTTAGGTTCTCTTGATACATCCATGGTCTGTAGACGCTAAATCCAACCGATATCTGCAGTCTGCAGTCAGGCAACTAACAGAAACAGCCAACAATGGCTCATCTTACTGAAAACCACGCTGACAAAGAGAGGTGAGTTATTTTAATAGCTAGCCTTTTAGCCTAGTTTATGTTAAGCTAAAGCTAACAGCGTTTAGACTTTCGCTCACTTACAGTAAAACCCCCGTGTAGAATACCTATGATTTTAAGGCTGTATACTTAAATATGACTTCCTTAATGCTTGTTACTGTATTGTGTCCTAATTCCTTTAGGACCACTCTTTAATTCGGCTTACATTTACTCAGAATTGTAGCTTTTAATACAGCAAAAAAAATCTGATGTTCTTTGTGTTTACATCAACTACAACTACTCTACGGTAAAGCGAAATGGGAGATTGTCATGTAAACTGAATGTAATGTTAGCTGAATTAACCCTCTTTACCACTAAACTTTTAAAAAATTACAACCTCTAATGTGTTGAATGTACAGTCCCCTTCTACAAAGTATTTGGCAGAAACCGTGGCAAACGTCTTAAGTTGCCTGTTATTTACGTGAAGTGTGGCTTGTCGTCGCAGCCCTCTAGCATGACGTGTATTAAAGGTCCCTAAACCTCAATAGTTGCACTTGTCTAAAACTTTTCCCATCGACGTTTAATTACTTTTTAAAGATTGAGGACTATGGGGGAAATGTTATAATGTTAGGCCTATGTCTCCATTAGCTTCTTCTTGTTATAGCTTCTCAGTCAAAGGTTTGGCTAACGCGGAGGGAGTTAGCCATTCAGACCAGCCTGAATGTGAAATACAGCTTCTGTAAAGTCACTATGAGCTCCTAAGGCAAAGTCAATTAACTGTTAAGAGATTACATTGAAGGAAAGCGCTTGAGAACCTCAGATTATTATCATCATTTTATAATATTCAGGTTATTGTTGTAATTTGAAACTAAAAAGACCAGCAAATATTTACATATATAAAGCATATGGCAGGAATCTTTTCAAATGTATTTTTGTAAAATAATCAATACATTTAGTTCTGTTTTAGGCCTGTTATCTCAAAAGCTCTGAATCTTAATGTCCATAACATAGTGAGTAACATGAGTTTTTCTGTGATCTGTTCCAGGTTCATCTGCATCTATCCCATCTACGTCAACAGTAAGAAGACGCTGGCTGAAGGGCGAAGGATCCCCACAGAGAAGGTTCTTACGCTCCACGGTTTCAAGATGTTTCAGCAGTACATGCAAGGAACTTTGTTTTGGTGCATAAAGAGTGGCAATGATTAGTGGACTAATTGATTAATCAAAAATGATTTCCAACTATATTGACACTGATCGTTTAAGTACTTTTTCATGTCCGAAATGGCATTAAATGCTGCCTTTACCCTCTCAGGTAAACCAATAATGATAATATATTAATAGTAATATAACTTTTTATTTTAGTTTTAATGCCAAGTATTCGAGAAGGTCAAAAATCAATAATATGATATGATATGATTGTGAAGTATCCTTGTTTTAACCGAGGAATGTGCAAATGTTGAGTGGACAGAGCGATCGGCTGAGGGTATTTAAGCTGAAGATGTTCCTTCTTCCTGTGTGTGTGCAGGCGGTGGAGAACCCGTCCTGCGCTGAGATCAGGGACGTGCTGACGGCGGCTGGGATGAACGTCTATGTGGAGGTAAAAAACCCCATTTAAAATTAGTTATTAAAACTGAATCTGCCCTAAAGGTCATTTTCTATTGATCCCATTATATGTCCCCTTTTGTCATAAAAAAATAGCCACATTTATCCTTATATTTGTATAAATTTAATAAAATATAAATGTAATTAATCTATAGAATCGGTTTTTTATTTATTTCTTAATTTATTTCTTATTGATTAAATTGTATTTACTTTATTGATCCCAAAACACTGCAAATGAGGAGAGGAGACGCATGTATTATATACACATGTTTCTATTGTTTGCGGGGGGGCCCGTAATGCAGTAGGCATTGTCCCCAGTGTCCACACCTTTTTTTCTAACAAAGTGATGTGTGTGTGTGTGTGTTATCCAGAACAAAATGCATCCCAGGGAGTGGAACAGGGATGTGCAGTTCAGAGGTCGCGTCAGAGTCCAGGTGAAGCAGGAGGACGGCAGCCTCTGTCAGGACAAGTTCTCCTCCCGTAAGTCTGAATTCATGTCCTGTTAAAACGTATGTTGTGACATATTAAATTCAGGGTTTATCCATCATTTAACAACATATTCTTCTTCCTCTTCTTACCTGTCGTGCTATCAGTCCATATTGTTTTGTTGTGAGTTGGCGAGTGTTTTATATATAAGCCAAAGAGATGTCTGCCTTCTCTCTAAGTTCATATAAATAGATGGCCCTGGGCTTGTGGGGCCCAAAGCTCCAAACATCCGTCTGAAAAAGGAAATGTGTCTTTCTAGAAATAATGATGTAGTAATAACATGTAAGGATGGCACTTCTCTGCATAAAGTTGATAGCTTTAAATATCTTGGTGTATGGCTAGACTCTGAACTTTCATTTAAACTACATATAAAGCATGTAATACAAAAAGTCAATTACGGAATCAGTGTTTTACACCGCTCTCGCAATTGTTTTACGCTCAGTGTCCGAAAGAGAATTGCTTCTCAACTTATTCTTCCGATTATGGACTATTGTGATGTTGTCTACCAAAATGCACATAAATCAGATCTGGCTCCACTCAACATAGCCTACAACAGACTATGCAGATTTGTTCTTGGTTGTCCTTTTCGTACACATCACTGCACAATGTATAACCAACTTAAATGGCCTTCTTTAAATGTAAGAAGACACACGCATTGGCTTCAGCTGATATTTAAATGCATTTCTCTTAACTATCCCCCGTATTTAAAGCAGTATTTTGTACCCTACTCACCAAATCATCATGTTAGACATTCTGTTCAGATTTATTTCTGAAAAATGGATTGGCAGAAGAGCGTTCATGTTCAAAGCCCCAACTGACTGGAATACTTTACCTGCTGCTATTAGATCTTTTGCATCATTGGCGTATGTTTAAACATGTTATCATCTCACTTTCAACTGGTCTGTACTTGTTATTAATGAAACTGATATTGATGAAACTGATTTGCTTGACTGTCGAGATGGTGCATCTCAATAAAAGTTTCTATATTAACTCGAGGAGACCATATACCCTGTTGGAGCTGAATTCATAATGAAAAGATCTAAAGGATATACCTTGAGTTCTAGTTAAAAGTCTGATTTATGAAATGCATGATTTGGAACTGATAAGATCCTTGTGTCATCATGTATTGATAATGCACACTTTTTGTTGAATGAGCGACGTCACGCTCCACTTCAAGTTGGCAAGACATTTTCTGATTGATTTTCTGTTTTCATTCCATCAGGTAAAGAAGTGATGTTTTACGCAGCAGAGATGATCCCCAAACTAAAGACCCGGACCCAGAAGAGTGGAGCAGGAGACACCAGCTCTCAGCAAGGAGAGGGAGGAAAGAAGAGCAAGAAAAAGAAGAAATAGACTCATAGAAATTCCATTTGTCTTTTTTTTTTTTTTACTTCATTTGTAATATGAGCTCAGTCAGCCAAAATCAAACTCTGAAATTACACTGAAGCCAGTTTGTGTTTTTAAGAAGTTTGTTAACCTGAAAGTTGTTGAGCTGTCGGCTTCCAAAATGAAAATATATCCGTTTACCCTTTTCTGATTCTTTAAGTCTGGACCCTGCTGAACATTTCTATGAGCGGCTGTAACATCTCCTGACGGATCATCGTGGAGTTTCCAAAGAAAGGCAGAGAAAAGAGCTTATTTCTGTTATTTCAAGCTTCAAAGTGGAGTGCTGCTTTGGTTTCAGATTAACACTTACTTTTTTTCAACTTTATTGTGTCTGTTTGAAGACAAGATTAATAAAGAGTTCATTTTCTCACCTTTTTGTTTTGCTTTAATATGAGCAGCTAGCTTATCAAAGAAAAGTAGTTTTAGGAGCGTTTTTAGCGCAATATTGATCCTTATTCAAACTTCTCTTGGCTGTGCTCTGTCACTTGGCATCGGGCTCTCAGCTGCAGTTAAGAACGGGTGTGACTGAACCCGAGCTTTCAGGGATTCTTTAGTTTGAACCAGCTCAGGTTCAGCTAAACCTATGTTTGGTGAAGTTACCTTCTTCTTTAACATTGTTTCAGTTTCCTCTTTTTTTCAAAGGGTCCCTATTATGCTAGGTCTTTTCACCTTCCTTCTAAAACCAGTGCTCTGCTTTTATTGGTAAGCTAAAGCTAAATTAATTCATTAAATGAAATTAACAAAATAATGTTCACATGTCAGGCCTGAACAAGCAGACAACACAATAAAATACAGCAGAGCTGATTTAAAAAATAGTTAGGCTAATACAAATAATGTATAATAAGAGGTAGCCTATATCTTAAAGATGTTGGAAACGTAATAATACAAAAATACAATTTACATTTTTAGGATAGCCTGAAAATGATTATTCAGTCTTTCAACGTCTATGTTTCTGTTATATTTAAATAATATTGCTTAAGGATGTTTTTACCTTTTAATAAAACAAAGGAAACAACATAGTTAAGAGATACTCATAATGTCAGAGTAACGTCGGAGAACGTGTTTAAGATAAAGTGTATCGGAGACAATCGTATTGTTGAAAACATAACACAAAAATCCATTATTTTTACACTGGAAAAATAAATCAGTCGGTTTACTTTTCAGACAATTGCTCCATTTCAGAATAGAACATAACATATTTATATAAAAATAAGAAGTTCAAGTAAGAATAAACATAAATGATTGGATTTCATGAAACATTTTTAAATTCTTTAAAAATGTTAGGAATATAAAATCGTTAGGTTAATGTTTTTTTCGGTGTTTGTTAGAGGCTATCCCGGAAGTGACGTCCTCATTCTGCTCTCTGTATACGGTTACTAGGCAACGTTGTCTTTTTGCATTTAGGCTAATTTGCTCAACTGCGCCCTGTTAGCTCTAGATATTAGCGGCTTTAGAGTGCAGTTACTGGACAAACACAGGATGGCCGGCTCTCCGTATGACCCCAGCCGGGCTCCGGTGGCCTACGGCCGGCGGGCGGTGCCTCAGTTGTTCTCGGAGCTGCAGCAGCAGGAGGCGCCGCGGAGGCTGCGGGCTCTGGCCTCACTGTGCGACCTGCTGCGGGACCCGGAGC